AGTTCGTCAGAATGTCATATATAAATTTTGCTCGTTTTCGTCTCTTGGATCTTATCGCGTGAGTTTATAAATTTAGTTCTAAATACGCAACTGCGTTTGTTCGTCTGAGAGCTGCGAGTACATGTACGAAGAATAAGACTGAAATAGCGTCATCGTGTTGTGAGCTCTTCTAAATAAACAATGAGACCCCATAAATTACATCACAATTGATGGAAAATAAACAACAGCTTGTCATTTGATGAAATTATTTGACTGGGTGATTCTGACAATGTGTGTGAGTATAACAGAAAAGAATAAGATTTTAGTACTAAAATTAATTTCATGTGAATCTATTTAACTATTCTAATAAATATTAGTTCCCTTATAACCCTTCATTACCCGTTCAAGATATTTCTATTTTATAAGTTCGTTACATATGTGAATACCATTTATATTAGCACAAATTGTTCCATACAATTAAAAGGAATTAATTTTATTTGAAGGAAGTATAGAATTATTAATCAATCTCTATTTAATTGTAAATCATTAAAGAGAATAATGACGTTAAGATAATATGTAAAATACATGCACCCCGCGTGATTAATTACGTTTAAAACAAAAACCACCCGATAGTAATATTAACGTTAAGCGCAGTTAAATCGATTTTTCTTTACAAAGAATTCCGATACAGATCTTTACGACGAATCTTCTGATATAGATCGCTTATGATTTTGAAGAAGACGCGATGGATCATTAAAACGCACGCGATATATTGCAGATACTTTGTGATAACGGCGCGAATTTAATATACTCTTTTGTCACTACGAGCGCGTGACGTTGGGAGGATCGTTATTGCCCTTCGCCCTTCTCTTTCCGTTCCCGTCCCTCTACCGTCCCGGGGCGATAAATTATTTTCGTCTCGGCCATCGTCTGGCAGTAGAAAGTGTACGAAGGTGGAGGAGATGGAGGAGTCGTCCCTGAAGCTTTTCAAGCCCTCGACGTAAATTACAAGCAATAGATATATCCTAACCGGTCCGCGGCGCGGCTTATTTATGGACATCGCTTATTGAATGCATCGTATGAGAGCGCATCGTGTGCTGCACCGTCGCCGATGTTGCGTGGAGTGCATTACGTCGCATCGGCCGTGCGAGTTCGCGGATCGCGCGTGACGAATCGAAGGACCGCCATGTGGGTTCCGCATGCATTCCGGACGTCCACCGGGGCTCGCGATGGTCGTCGAAAGCACGTCGCACCGTTAAATTCTATGTTTATTATCCTCTCTCTTTTATTCGCGCAGTACGCACAATAATAATCTCGTTTAATCGATCCACCATTTTGATCATGCGTTACGTTTTACGCTTCCCGCATCGGGATTCTGTAATTTTAATGACATATCGGTGATATTACAGTTCCGCTTCTCTTATACCATATATAATAATATAATAATCTACGTAATGTAACGAGATACCGACACCGTCGGTTAAAACTTACAGAATCCCAGTGCTGAGATTCTCGTACGTTACCGTGCTCTTGTTTTTATATCTCTTGCCCTAAAGTGAATACGAGAAAGTGATCTTCCGGGACGTTACGTTCTCCATTTTCCTTTTCTGAGCCACGTGTTTGACACCGTCGCATTCCAACTCGTTTATAAATCATAGTGACATATCCCTTTCGTTCATTGGACTCACCAAGCATTGTTTCACGTCTCCTTTATTGTCGCGTTACACTTGCATCGCTCTAAATTTTTGTATAGTACGTCGCTGTAAATCAGAATGCACTATTTCCTGATTCAATGTCGAGGGACAATCCATGGTCTTCTTTTATCGGGCCACGTGTTTGCCACCTCGTACTCCGACGCGAGTTTGTTTAACCCGCTCGGAAGTGTCAACGAGAGATCTCGGAGGCGGGTGGATGACAGTCATTTCGCGGTGGGCGCCACGTAACCCGGTTTCTGTCAGGGCCTCAATTTCCGCCCAGACCACGAAGCGTCGACGGAGTCGCGGCGACAGTGATTACCTGTTTATTATGCCGAACGATGACTGATTCGATCCTAGAACACACGAGCTATTTTAAATAAGATTCGTATAAGCGTCCTCCGCCCGGTTTCCCAAAGAACAACAAATATCCGACACATTTGGTGCTTTTTCACGCAATCAAATCGGACGTTTACGATCCTGTTTGGAGATCTTTCCAGGAGGAGTGCTTATGACACTTGTGTTATATTAACATTTTCTTGCAATTATATTATCTTAAATATCGTGTGTCCGTACTGTTTTGCTTTAAATTCGCTAATTTAGTTTTTATTTGAGAATTATGTTATAAGATTAAAATATAATATATCTATAATATTATAAATAATATATAATTAATAACAGAAATATATTATTTATATAGATATATTTTTTTGTAGCGCGAAGGAATATATAAATCTTCATGTCCTATCAAAATTTTTTTATTTTATTTTCTTTAGAAATTTTTCAAGTTTAATTATATATTATACGTTCTTAATTTGTAGATAATCTTGTTCAGAAAACACAAATAAAATGTTATTATAATACAAAATTGGACCGATATGAGAATAAATCTAATTATGCATTATTGATAGAATGCTTTTTAAATCTTGCTGGATATAAACATTCAAAGTTTTTTCAAAAAGCATTATTTATAAAATTATTCTTAGAATCACTATACGCTCCAGTTCGGTAATAATCATATTTCTGATAAAAATATGAATACAGTTTTAAATCAATGTATCTGTGTCTAGTTAAAAAATCATCTTTAATTGCGAATTGCGATCAACTTTCTGATTATTTCGTGTCCGAGCGAGTTACAGCGTTTCTTACCGCATCTGATCGGTATGCATTTTGCGCGGTCCAGCATTTCTTCGGGGATCCTCGCATCCCTCTTCCCACGAAGGGCACACCGTGAACGCATTTAAACGTTTTTCTGCGCGATGTTCGATCGATCGAGATGCGAATTCTTTCACAGGCTGGACTCGCGCGGCAGCTTGATTTATATATATATATATATATATATATATATATATATATATATA